CTAATGGAAAGGTTTTCAAACATTTCCAGTACGATTTGAGTCTGTTCTGTGTGTGTGCCACCCAGTGGCCAGTCTGTAGGCGGTCGCCTACCCACTAACTTAGTCCTCAATGCCTGTGATGTGCTACTTAGGGCCAGCTGAATGTGCATACAGTTCATAGGTGACTCAGGGAATCCATGTACAACTAACTGTAGGGGATCACACTTGACCTGCATCCCCTCTGCACTTCAACACTTCCTGGTTATCTGGAGCGTCTTACCAGTCCTTCAGCTCTAAAGCTGGGGTTTTAGTTTCTCCACTGTTTTATTCACTTCTCCAAATGCATGTGCATTCTGCTCCAAGCAGCAAGAGGACACAAATAATAAAAAGCAATGGCTATTTTTTACATCATGCTCCTGGGACCAAAGCAACTCCGTTCAGAGTAAAAGGCTCCCCTTCCTCTGAGTTTAAGGTGCTTCTCCAGTTACTACTGCTGTCCCTGTACTGCTGCCATAGTATTGTCTGGAGGCTGAGGTGGATGAAAAAGGAAATGAAGAAAAAACTATATGGGATTTCTCCCAATTTTTTAAAAGATTTATTTATTTATTTGAAAGGCAGAGCTACAGAGAGAGAGAGAGAGAGAGAGAATCTTCCACCTGCTCATTCACTCCCCAAATGGTTGCAATGGCCAGGACTGGGCTCGGCTAAAGCCAGGAACTTCTTTTGAGTCTCACACGTGGGTGCAGGGACCCAAAGACTTGGGCCATCTTCTACTGCTTTCCCAGGTCATAGCAGAGAGCTGGATTGAAAGTGAAGCAGCCAGGTCTGGAACCGGCACCCATATGGGATGCCAGCACTACAAGTGGCAGCTTCACCCAATAAAACCCCAACACTGGCCTCGGTATTTCTCCCATTTTCCTTGACTCTGAGGAGTCCTCTTTCCTACTCCTTGGGCCAGAAATAGAGCACTTGTCTTGGCATTTACTATGTGCACTGCTGTGTTTCAGGCTGTGTTGGTCTAGGATAGCAGATGCTAGGGGGCAAAAGACAGTTCAATGCATTTTCAAATTCTGGACTCCTCCCCCAATCTGGTTGCTATAATTTACTCTGAAGAGTCCTCAGACAGCTACTCCATACACTCTGTTTTGCAGTTATCATTACCTTCATGGCAGTTACAGGGTACAGAAGGCTTTCTTCATCTTCCCTAGAACCAAAGCCTCTATTCTTATTATTCTTATTTTTTTTCCTCCTTCTATGTACTTTGGTTTTAAGTTGTTCTTTTGGTTTCCCCTTAACTTTTTTTTGGTGATAATCAGATAATTGACTTTGAACTTTTCCTCTTCTGATCTGTTTACAGGAATGGTACATCTTCAGTCCTGCTCACCTGTAGTTTTCTTAGCTTCTCCCTCTGCATGTGTTGCTTCACAGCTGGTGCAGCATTTCCTGGCATCATATCCAGTCACAGTAACATCTGTGGGTAGAAAGTACCAGCTCGGGCCGGCACTGTGGTGTAGTGGGTTAAGCTGTTGCCTGCAGCACTGGCATCCCAAATGGGTGCTGGTTCAAGTCCTGGCTGTTCCATTTTTGATCCAGCTCCCTGCTAATGGCCTGGGAAAGCAGTAGAGGATGGCCCAAGTGCTTGTGCTCCTGCACTCACATGGGAGACCCAGTAGAAGCTTGCGTCTCCTAGATCCTGGCTTCAGCCTGGCCCAGCTCCTGCCATTGTGGACATCTGGAGAGTGAACCAGCAGATGGAAGACCTCTCTCTCTCTCTCTCTCTCTCTCTGTCTCTCCTTCTCTGTAACTCTGCTTTTCAAATAAAATAAATAAATCTTAAAAAAAAAAAGAAAGAAAAGGAACGGTCACCTTTACTGTGTCTTATTTAGAAGAAAGCAAACTTTTCCCAGAAGCAGGCTTTACCTCATGGAGCAGTCCTTACCTCGTTTCATTATCTGGGATTAAGTGATTTGGCCAAGACCAAAAGCACTTGCAGTGCAACAGGATTCATAAGATTGCTGTAGTAGACTGTGGGGACCAACTCGGACTAGACTAAGTTACTGGAATTAAGACTTATTCTATGCATCTGCCTTCCCACAATATGGCGCTGAGAAGGGAAACAGCTTCTACACAGCTGCCTCCAGTTCAACCAATAAACTGTAGGACCTGCTCCTGATTGGAGGAGAGCAGCGTACTCGGCGTGTGGGTAGCAGAGCTGGGATTGGTGGAAGAGGACTATAAAGGAGGAGAGAGACAACATGCACGAGGAACATCTAAGAGGAGCATCTATCTGAAGGAACACCTGTGCAGCCCCCGAGAGAGCCGGCCGGCGGTGTGCTGCTCCCCTGCGGAAGTGGGGAAAGTGGCCAGGGGGAACCGCCCTTCCACGGAGGTGGAAGGGACAGCAGCCAACCCGGGAAGAACCAGCAGCAAACCTGGGGAGGGCCAAGCAGACAAAAGAACAGCGCAGAGTCCTGTGTCATTCCTCCACAAAGACGGGGAGCGACAGTAGACTAATCATTTAGAGTAGAATAGGGCAGTCAAAGTGCCAAACTGCATAGGTGACAACCTTGTTGATAGCCAATTTCATTGCTAAAAAGCAGGGTTTTTTTTTTGTTTTGTTTTGTTTTTGTTTGTTTGTTTGTTTGTTTTTTCTGACAGGCAGAGTAGACAGTGAGAGAGAGAGAGAGAGAAAGGTCTTCCTTTGCCGTTGGTTCACCCTCCAATGGCCGCCGCGGCCGGTGCGCTGCGGCCGGTGCACCACGCTGATCCGATGGCAGGAGCCAGGTACTTATCCTGGTCTCCCATGGGGTGCAGGGCCCAAGTACTTGGGCCATCCTCCACTGCACTCCCTGGCCACAGCAGAGAGCTGGCCTGGAAGAGGGGCAACCAGGACAGAATCCGGCGCCCCAACCGGGACTAGAACCTGGTGTGCTGGCGTTGCAAGGCGGAGGATTAGCCTAGTGAGCCACGGCGCCGGCCAAAAAGCAGTTTTGAAATTTATTTTTAAAGATTTATTTATCTGTTTGAAAGGCAGAGTTGAGAGAGAGAGAGAGAGAAACATCCTCCATCCGCTGGTTCACTCCTAAATGACTGCCAACAGCCAGGAGCCAGGAGCTTCTTCTGGGTCTCCCACATGGGCACAGGGGCCCAAGCACTTGGGCCATCTTCCACTGCCTTCCCAGGCCTATCAGCAGGGAGCTGGATTGGAAGTGGAGCAGCCAGGATTCAGCCAGTGCCCATATGGGATACTGGCACTGCACGCGGCAGCCCAATCTGCCATGCTACAGCACCAGCCCCTAAAAAGCAATTTTAACAGGCTAATCCACATCATGCAGCCCCACTGACGTGTCCAACATGGAGTATTCTACCTAGAATCCTGACAACTCCTTCTGCAATGGATAGACCGAAGCCAGCAAAACTGCCTAGGAAATGATAGGAGCAGATGTCTGGCTGGCTGACCGTTAGCTCTACCACCAGCACTCACTCAATACCCCATGTAAGCTGCCCCTCCATGTCACTGTGGCCTTTGAATAAACAGGACTTTTCTGTTGAAAGACACATGTCCAAAGGATGTCCCTTACTGTCTGGGTCTAATCTTAGCCGAGTTTGAATTTAGCTAAGATTAACTGGCTTGTCTTCAACAGAAAAGACTACAGAGGCTTCCCTCAGAATACTTGATTTCAATTCTGCCATGTGAGAGCCCAAGAAACTCTTTAATTGAGCAGTAATTCACAATATGTAAACCTCTGAGGCATGTAACATTCCTCTCTTTAATTACAAAAAGAAGCCTCAAAGAAGAGTATGCTTTTTAATAACTGAAAATACACAAAACCCAATATATATTCCCATTTGCTAGAGCTACAAAGCCTAATAATGATCAGAAAATTCTATAATAATATTTGCATTCATTTCTCCCCATTAGTATTTATCAGTAAAGTAGAACACAGAAATTCTACGTTTCTGGAATTGCTCTAAGCACTAGATGCGGTTGGATTTTCTGAGAATGAAATATTTACACTTTCTGAGGAAACCCAGTAGACAAAAAAGTCGTCATGAACCACTTCTTCCCCTCTCCCAATGATTTTCCCTCCATGTTGGGTAACCGTAGCACCATGGCAAACACAGTAACAACATATTTTATCAAGAATCCCGAGGGCCTGGCACTGTGGCACAGCGGGTAAAGCTGCCGCCTGCAGTGCCGGCATCCCATATGGGTGCCACTTCGAGACCCAACTGCTCTGCTTCCATTCCAGCTCTCTGCTATGGCCTGAGAAAGCAGTAGAAGATGGCCCAAGTCCTTGGGCCCCTGTACCAGTATGGGAGACCCGGAAGGAGCTCCTGGCTCCTGGGTTCAGATCGGCTCAGCTCCAGCCGTTGCGGCCAATTGGGGTGTGAACCAGTGGAAAGACTTGTCTTTCTCTGCCTATCCTTCTGTGTGTAACTCTTTCAAATAAATAAATAAATAATTTTAAAATAACCTCTGGAAAAGAGGACATAATATTGTTTACTGTCAGAATAATTTTAGTAACATATGAGTAACTATTTTTCAAGATAATCTGATTGAACTATGGTGAAACTCTTAGCTACTCACATCCTATAGATATACTAAGAATTTTGCCTTAAAAGTTATAAACCATAATGATTATGTTCAACAACTGTTTGTAAGGGACTGTGGTGGACTCTAACTTTAGTATCTCTTCATTTACACAACAACATCAGAATAATCTAGGGTCTCATTTTGCAACAGCATGTCTAGAAAATCTTACTAAAAATGCTTAAGACCCTGAAAAGACTGTTTTGTGATGCCTGGAACATATTCACAGCTGATTTATGACAGAAACGAGAATGTGAAGAACACGGAGGTATAGTCATTAGTGGTTAAGGACTTCGTTTTCCAGGTGTGCTGTAGTGCACTTCTCAATTACACACTGCACTTGCCAATGTTACATTAGTCTTGTTTGAATGGTCTTGTTCATTTCCCTCTTTTATGTTATGATAATCATCAACTTTACACAAATGCCTCCAGAATAGCTCTGTTTATTATGAAAACATTCCTTATGTGTAGGTCCCTTCTTAAATACATGTAGAAAATCCTTAATGTTTCTATTATTTCTAAACTACATTGTAAAGATTTTTTCCAACATAGGAAATTACTTAGTGTCATGAGCAGTCCGTAGGCTTCTTGTGAGCTTTCATGAAAGTCCCTTTATTCAACAGCCTCCTAACAATGACTCTGGACATTCAGCCTTGGTCCTGGGATACACATTCTTTTGGACTCCTCATCCCACTCTTCATATTTTGAATCTGGTAACGAGCCAAATGGGAATTTTTTTTAAGTACTTAAATGTTTAGTCTTTATAATTCTAGTGCTCAAGTTATAAAATGGGAGTTATCTGTTTTTATACTAACACATATTTCTTTTCACTAGGGAAAAACATACTTGTCTAAAAAGGAATATACTAGTTCTTTATTTGTGTTAACGATGAAGAGTAGAATGTCTGAGAATGTCAGGGATGCTTACGGATAGGAATTTGCATTAAGCTTTCATGTGAATTGACACTGCACTGATAAGCAGAAGGGCAAATACTGCTGACAAGAACTAGTCTACATTTTTCTCCTCTAGCTTTTATAGCTCTTGAAAGGAAACCGGTGTCCACTAAAACCCAAGGATTGCCAGTGCCTTCTGTCTTCTCTAATTCTGAGAAAACTCAAAGTAAATGCTTTGATTCCCTCATGATATTGATGAGGCTTTTTCTCTAGTGTGTCGTTTCCTGTGTCTGAAAAGATTTGAGCTCTGACTGAAGACTTTCCCACATTCATCACACTTGTGTTGCTTTTTTCGAGAGGGGTTTCCTTGTCTTCTTTCAAACCTGCCATTTTGTTCACAGGTTTCTCCACATGTAAAACTCTTGGAGGCATTCACATGAAGGGCGTTAGAAACATCACAGCACAGTTCTATGCCTGAAGGAGTCTTTTGCCTGGAAGCCGTTTTCACATTTATAGTTTTGGTGTCTTCATCTGAAATAATAAATAAAAAAGCAAATGTCATCAGTTCTCTGTTCAGAAAAAAAGGGAAGTAGATGATTCAATTGAAATATCTATGGATTAATTACTAGTTTACTGTTTGTAAAGCAGCACAATGCGGAAGATGGGGAAGGTAAGACAAAACTGGAGGTGACCACAAGGCAAGGAGAAAGGTCTCTACACTAAGGCTGTCATCAACTAGAAGATGCAAAGCTCTACAGAGAAGGCAGAATGGTGAGTAAGGGTAGTAAGAAGTCAGAGACTGAGGATGCCTGGAAGAAAAGAAAGGCCTAAACGATTAGGAATTACTGCAAATGCAGAGAAGCAGCTAGAATGACAGGAATCACACGTGGCAGCAGGAATCATAAAGATTTAGTACAAGAGTACCAACAGACAAAGCAAAAACTTTATTACAAATGAATCAAAAACTAAGCAAACTGAAAAAAACTAAGGGATCAAAAAAGAATACCAACAGGCCGGCGCCGCGGCTCACTAGACTAATCCTCCGCCTTGCGGCGCCGGCACACCGGGTTCTAGTCCCGGTTGGGGCGCCGGATTCTGTCCCGGTTGCCCCTCTTCCAGGCCAGCTCTCTGCTGTGGCCAGGGAGTGCAGTGGAGGTTGGCCCAAGTGCTTGGGCCCTGCACCCCATGGGAAACCAGGATAAGTACCTGGCTCCTGCCGTCGGATCAGCGCAGTGCGCCGGCCGCAGCACGCCAGCCGTGGCGGCCATTGGAGGGTGAACCAACAGCAAAGGAAGACCTTTCTATCTGTCTCTCTCTCACACTGTCCACTCTGCCTGTCAAAAAAAAAAAAAAAAAAAAAAAAGAATACCAACAATGAGGTCAGAAAATGTAAGTGAGGCAAAACAAAGGATTACATACTAGGATGACCAGAATCTCAAAAGATCAAGGTAAGGGTGGGCCTTGTGGCACAGGTTAAGCTGCCACTTGCAATGCTGGCATCCCATATTGGAACACTGGTTCAAGTCCCAATTGTGCTGCTTCTGATCCAACTCCCTACTAATGTGCCAGGGAAGGTAGCAAAAAATGGTCCAAGTGCTTGCTTGGGCCCCCGCCACCCACATAGCAAACCTAGATGAAGTTCCTGGCTCCTGGCTTGAGCCTGGCCCAGACCTGGCTGTTGTAACCATTTGGGGAATAAACCAGCAAAAGGAAGATAACTCTTTCCAACTTTCTCTCTCTTGCCCCTCTATCTCTGACACTCTGCTTTTCAAACAAATAAATGTATCTTTAAAAAAAAAAAAAAAAGATCAAGGGTAGCTAGGAAAAACCTCTACTCCTGTAGATATCTTATAGTAATGGTTGAATGGCTAAACTTACTGTATTATTTTGTATTGCATTTATGTCTATGAAAAAGTGCACATGGTTGCTTAGGGGTTGCACACAGAATGCACACAAATCTGGCTCAACCCATTGGGCCTTCTGATGCAGGGCACTTGAAGCTCCAGCAGAGCTGCAAACTCAGATGGAAATATAGAACTTAATTTGAATGTATTCACCTAATAAATCACTTCAGTATTCCTCATGGTGTCATTTTAATTTTTTTAAAGATTTTATTTATTTATTTGAGAGGTAGAGTTACAGACAGTGAGAGGAAGAGACAGAGAGAAAGGTCTTCCTTCCACTGGTTCACTCCCCAAGTGGCCACAACGGCGGGAGCTACACTGATCTGAAGCCAGGAGCCAGGTGCTTCTTCCTGGTCTCCCATGTGGGTGCAGGGTCCCAAGGACTTGAGCCATCTTCTACTGCTATCCCAGGCCAAAGCAGAGAGCTGGATTGGAAGATGAGCAGCTGGGACTAGAACTGGCGTCCATATGGGATGCCGGCACCGCAGGCGGAGGATTAACCTACTGCACCACAGCGCTGGCCCCAGTGGTGTTATTTTAAGCAAAGCTACGTTTAAAATGAGTTTGTTAAAGCTCAGCAGTTTTGGACATCGTTGAGGACATGACTTGGCTGGGGCTGACTGTGACTACTGGGATACCTATATATCTAAAGTAACTGCAGAAATCAGACCGAAGGAACGCATAAAGGGACTGATCATAAGTGATCCTGTGTGCCTCTCAAGGCATAGCCAAAAAGATGACATGAGAAGAAAAGTTAGTGACTAAGTGTGACACTAAGAAAACTGAGGTTTTTTTTTAAGATTTTATATATTTACTTGAAAGGCAGAGTTCAGAGAGCAAGAAGGAGAGAAAAAGAAATCTTCCATCTATTAGTTCACTCCCCAGATGGGTTGGGGCTAGGTCAGGCAGAACCCAGGATCCAGGAGTTCCTTCTGGGTCTCCCATGTGGTTGCAGGGGTCCAAGGACTTGGGCCATCCTCCGCTGTTTTCCCAAGTGCATTAGCAGGAAGCTGGATTAGAAGTGGAGCAGCAAGAACTCAAACTGGCACCCTTATGGGATGCTGGCGCTGTAGACAGAGGCTAAACCCATTATAATTAAAAAAAAAAAGTCTTTATAATTTAAAATGGGCCTAAAAACAGTTACCACACAATGAATTAAAATTATTTCTTAATTTGTTCATAAATGTGGCATACTCCTGTATTACTACCAGTTTTTTTTTTTTTTTTAATTTGACAGGTAGAGTTATAGACAGTGAGAGAGAGAGACAGAGAGAAAGGTCTTCCCTCCGCTGGTTCACTCCCCAAATGGCCACTACGGCCGGTGCTGCACCGATCTGAAGCCAGGAGCCAGGTGCTTCTTTCCGGTCTCCCACGCGGGCACAGGGGCCCAAGCACTTGGGCCATCCTCCACTGCTCCCCCAGGCCACGGCAGAGAGCTGGACTGGAAGAGGAGCAACTGGGATTAGAACCCAGTGCCCATATGGGATGCTGGCACCGTAGGCTGAAGATTAATCAAGTGTGCCACGGCGCCAGCCCCAATCACTACCGGTTTAAACAGAAACCATTTTATAAATGGTAAGGATTCTGTTTCATTTTTTAAAAATATTTTATTTGAAAGGGGGAGAGAGAGAGAGCTCTGATTGGCTGGTCCATTTCCCAAATGCCTGCGATGGCCAGGGCTGGACCAGGCTGAGCTGAAGCTGAGAGCTGGAAATACACTCCACATCTCCCACATGGATGGCAAGAACTCAGTTACTGGAGCCATCACCACTGCCTGCCAGGGTCATTATGAGTAGGAACCTAGAGTCAAAAGCCAACATTAGAAACCAAACTCAAGTACTCCAATGGCAAATGGTAGGCATCTTAACCTCTAGGCAAAATGCTTGCTACTCAAATTCATTTTAAACATTTTAAAAAATTTATTTGAAAGGCAGAAAGACATACAGTGTGAGACAAAGAGCTTAACATCCACTGGTTCACTCCCCAAATGCCTGCAACAGCCCAGACTGAGCAAGGCTGGAGCACGGGTCTTGGAACTCAATCCAGATCTCCCCTAAAGGTGGCCATGACCCAAATACTTGAGCCATCACTGCTACCTTCCAGGGTGCACATTACCAGGTTTCTGGAATCAGAAGTGGAGCTGGCACTTCAGCCTCGGTATTCCTACATGAATGTGGGCATTCCAAGTGGCAACTTAACCACTGGACCAAATGTCTGCCGCCTAAAACACGTTTTTTGATAGCTCATATTCCAAAGTGACCCAGTGTTTAGTCACTATTATCAAAATCCTGGCAACAGTCAGAACTTGATGAGCACTGAGCCAGAGGTCAGCTACAGAACCTTTCAGTACCATAGAAACAGTTTTGTAGCTTTGAAAACTGATTATCCTATCACACAGTTCTGGTTCTATCTGCCTCGTGTTACAAGATCCTGGGGCCTTTGGCTTTCTGTTTCAAATATCCCTGTACCTTTTAAAAACAACTGGAAAGGACTCTGTGAGGATATCTGCAGGTGGACCATGGTTCTTGCCAACACCAACACTCCAGCACCAGACTTTAAGGCTGACCGCTTCTGTAGTCACGACCACACCCAGGCTGTAAGCTGGGATGGTTCCCTTCCACCCCTGATGCAGTGTGAAAACACTTCCACTTTTCTCTTATGTATTTCTAGAGGAGAGGTGTTAAGTTAGGCACTTGTCAAATAAGAATAAAAATGTTTTCTAAAAGGGGCCGGCGCTGTGGCACAGCGGGTAAAGCTGCCGCCTGCAGTGCCGGCATCCCATATGGGTGCCACTTCGAGACCCGGCTGCTCTGCTTCCATTCCAGCTCTCTGCTATGGCCTGGGAAAGCAGTAGAAGATGGCCCAAGTCTTGGGCCCCTGCACCAGCGTGGGAGACTCAGAAGAAGCTCCTGGCTCCTGATTTCGGATTGGCGCAGCTCCGGCCATTGCGGCCACATGGGGAGTGAACCAGCGAATGGAAGACCTCTCTCTCTCTCTCTCTCTCTCTCTCTCCTCTCTGTAACTCTTCCAAATAAATAAATCTAAAAAATATTTTCTAAGTATCAATTTCTGTATTTTCTTTGCTTATATGTTTCCTACAGCTTCTTATCAACATTCCCTTGGAAAAATCTAACCTTGTTTAGGTAATTAGCCAGGCCTGAAACACGGAATTGGCGATAGAGCTTCCCAAGTGGGGTTTCCCTGTTCATCTCTGGCTCCCATTTTATCCTTAATGATCATCTAGAATGAGTGTCTCAAACGTCACCTTACCAGAAAGGCCTTCTCTACAACTCCACACAATGAGACCCTGTCCATACCCTCTTATTCTTTTTTTTTTTTTTTTCCCTAGAACATATTTCCTAGGATCTGCAATAGAAAGATGGCTATGCCAGCCATTGTGGAGTGCTTTTGTAAAAACTGAGATAGCAACAGAGGCCAATTTAAGGTGTGAAGGAGTAGAAATCCATATTGAAAGCACATGAAAAAGCAGTTGTTTCAGCAACAAAACAGGTAATTTTGCTACTAGGTCCCACCAGTAACTGAACAGGCAGTTACATGGGAAATGACACAATGCAGACTACACGTGGAGTCCCACAGCCAGCCTCAGGGGCTACTGCATGAGGTAGGAATGAGGCCGAGTTGGAGGCCCCACGGGTGAGACTGCCCACTCCTGCTTCACTATAGGTGTATTTCTATCTGTTTTATGTACTGGAACTCCACATAAAACTTCACTGGAGAAAAAGGTTTGAAAACCCTGATGGGGATGATGTCAAGAATTAAAAAATATAAGAATTTATATAAAAGAAACACAAAATTCTGAATGTTCCTCTAGTGGGACAAATAACAGTGGAAGTTCCCGCAGTAAGGGGGAGGCAAGAGGGGAGACTGACGCCTTACATAAAGCAGTGGGATGTCTGTGGTAGGCTGAGGCCCCCTGCACCTCCCGTAGGAACTGAATCCGGCCCCCTCACCATTCTGCCTTAAGGAATGCAGTTCCCCGGATGCCCACTGGAGCTGCTGCTTCACAGGCTTGAGCTCGCTACTTGGTAACTCCTGAGGGATTTCCCAAGGCACTAGCTTCTCGGCAATCAAGTCCGTCCTTTGTCCAACAAGGAAGACCTGCAAATGGGTACACCCAAGGCTGAGGAAGAGAACATTAGGATGAAATAACAAAGGAGAAACTACAGAAAATATCCTGGACACAGGAAACAGAAGGATGAGAGTAGAGCCCCATTCTGTTTCCTGGGACACCGAGAAGGACATTCCTCAGCCCACACCCCAAGCCATGCTAAGTGGGAATACAATTTGGTGAGCCCCACCCTTGATGGTACCACCGTGCTTCTGACTCTGCCTGGTCATTCGTCCCCCACAGACGCCTTCTTACCTGGTCAGTCTGCCTGCCAAACTCTCTCTGCACATCCTCCAGCACAGTCACGGCCTCCTCTCCATTGGCTGGCTGATGCGCTCGCACCCAGGCCTGCAGCTCCTCAGGCAGGATGGCCAGGAACTGCTGCAGCACCAGCAGCTCCAGGATCTGCTCCTTGGAGTGCACCTCCGGCCTCAGCCACTGACAGCACAGCTCCCGGAGCCTGCTCAGAGCCTCCCGGGGGCCAGGTGAATCCTGGTAGCCGAACTGCCTGAACTGCTGGCGGAAGGTATCTGGGCTGTAGCCACGGCCGCAGAGAAGACTAGAGTCCGGATCACAGGCCCGCTCTTCCTCTTCCATTTTCACCACCAGAATCCCATCAGGCTCTTCTGAAGTTTGTGGAGGGAGCACTGATGACTCTGAATTTTGCAGACATTCTGACGGGCAATAGCATAAGACTGCTAACCTTTAATCCTCAAGAAGGTGGAGCTCTCCTTACAGATACTCGTTAAAAAACATGATTAAAGAAACAAGTGGAAATAAGGTAAAGGACAAATGCTTCTAGGAACAAAACAACTAAGAACAGAAATAGAAGACGGCAGAGAAAGTACTGACATTAATACTAACGTACACCATGCTTTCAAAGAATACCTTTCTCTAAGAGAACCAAAGAGCTAAGGCTCATTTGTTCACATGCATGAATAATTTCCAATTTATTTTGAAGACCATGCCCATGAGACTGACTAAATATTACAGCAAGAGATCAGCCAGGACTGCACAGAAGCTCTCAGAGAATAGAAATAAGGGAAGCCTGAGAAAAGCCATGACTAAGGAGCAGGTTCAAAGAACCGATTAGTTTTATCTAGTCTGCTACAAAGGGCTTGAAGAAATATTCTCACGAGACAAGTATTTTTGTGAGGCATTTTTTTTCAACTTTCACTAATTGTTAAAATTGTATCATCTGGAAAGTAAAGGAATCATTCAAAAGAAAAAGCAAGTGCAGTTTCTCCATCTTAATGATTCCTATTTTTTCACTTCCTTCTACTTCCTATCTGTAACAACTATACTTGAATCATTTACTTAACATCTCTGTATTGTAGAATATTGGGGTGTTTTAATTTTCATGTTACAATAGTGCTAGAAGGTATTTCCATGACTAGCATTATTTTTCCCCTTTCAATTTTTTTCCTTCAAGCACGTCCTAAGGTCTGTGCTGAGGTCAAAAGAGAGTGGCAAGTTCTATCTTGCTATATGTTATCAAAAAAAAAAATCGCTAAAAAGGGGGGGCTGGTCTTGTGACACAGCAGGTTAAACTGCTGCCTGCGATGCTAGCATCCAATATGAGCACCACTTTGAGTCCCGGCTGCTCCACCTCTCAGCACTGGGAAAACAGAAGATGGCTCCAGGGCTTGGGCCCCTGCCACCCCTGGGGAAACTCTGATGGAGTTCCAGGCTCCTGGCTTGGGCCTGGCCAAGCCCAGCTGTTCCAGTCATTTAGGGAGTGAACCAGCAAACAGAAGATACCTCCCCCCCGCGATCTGTAACTCTACCTACACACACATCTATGTATGTATATATATTTTTTATACATATATATATTTTAAATCATAAAAAATATGAACTCACAATGCTACCAGTAATTCCCAGTAATGTGTCAGGGCACTGAGCTATCCACATATTAGCTTGTTAGTGCTTCCCGCTAACCACTTATCGTAGCACCATTTAATATATGTATCACCAGTAACTACAGTAATCAAACTTGTAAAATTGGGCCATGGTGTGTGATATGTCTGTACATGTTCAGAAAATATTAACTAATCTTAAATGTGTCCCCATTTTCCCTATTTATGTAGCTTGCCATCTGATAGTTGCTGTATTCACCACTCACTGTTCTAGGCATTGAAGACACAGGGTGACCAGGATAAAGTGTGTGCTGCATATAACTCCTGTTATCAAGTAAGTGACACAACCTTAGCCAGTGATGAGCTACGCTGTAAACAGCAGCAGATACATATAGAATTTGCTTTGCGCCAAGCACTAAACACATTAATATGAATAAACAGAAGCCTATCTAAATCCTCATACAAGCCCCAGGCGGTTATTTTTATCCCCAGGTTTGGATGAGGAACCTGTCACAGCACAGCGGTTATGGTGGCCAAGAACAAAGCGGCCATGGCTGGGTCTGCATCCAGGCTGCCGCAGTTACCCATCTTGGACAAGAGGCCAAGGGCAGGAGAGGCCCCTCGGGGCGACCCCTGCTCAGCGACGCAGGGCAGCCCAATATACCCGCACAGAACAGAGGCTGGGGGCGGACCCTAGAGGCTGGAAGTTCTGTTGCGGTCACAAGCCTGGAGCCCCCGGGACCCCTAAGGGGCAAGTGAGGGCCCCCACGGCTAAAGCAGTGTCGCCTGGCACCAGCAGCACAACCTGTGCCCACAAAGCCCTCGGCTCTGAACGCGAGGCGAGCAGAGGCGAGTGTAGACGCCGGCGAGACGAGCGGGAAGCCGAGGGGAGCGGGCGAGCAGAGGGGTGGGGAGGGGGTGCGTGCACAGGAGCGGGGCGCCGAGGCCCGCGCCCGGCCCCAGGACCCCCGGCCCACCCCCGACAGACCGTGGCTTCCGCCGGCGGCCTAGGGGCCCTGACAAGACCTCGGCTCTCACCTCCGGGCCAGCAAGGACGACCCAACGCAGTCGGTAGAAAGCCAACGGCCTGCAGCTGCTTCCGGTCCTGGCGGCCGAGGGGGGCCGGGGCGCGGTTGCCATGGAGACTCTCCGCGGCGGAAGGCGGGGGATGGCGGACAGCCCCTGCAGGTGGGCCCCAGCGACTTGGTGTCCGGGTTCAAGCTAGCCAGCCATGGTACTTTTCTTTATTTCTTTTTTTTTTTTAAGATTTATTTATTTATTTGAAAGTCAGACAAACACAGCGAAAGAAGGAGAGGCAGAGAGAGAGAGAGAGGTCTTCCCTCCGATGGTTCACTCCCCAATTGGCCAATCCGAAGCCAGGAGCCAGGAGCTTCCTCCGGGGCTCCCACGTGGGTGCAGGGGCCCAGGGACTTGAACCATCTTCTGCTGCTTTCCCAGGGCCATAGCAGAGAGCTGGATCGGAAGTGGAGCAGCTGGGACTTGAACCAGCATTTATATGGAATGCCAGCACTGCAGGAGGCGGCTCTACCGGCTACACATAGTGCCAGCCCCTATGCCGTAGTACTTTTCAAAGCGCTTTTACTCACAACATTGCGTTAATTCTCTTCACCCTGTAAAGTTATTCCATTTCACAGAAGAAAAAATATCTGTGACTTGCCCAAGATCTCAGAGGGTTTGTTCTGTGTTCTGGGCACGGCTTGTTCGGATCCCAGGGTGCTACTGAAGGCTGTAAGGCGCCAAGTATTGACGTTTTAAGGAATGTTTGACGTCCTCCAATCCCGTGTTTTCCCACCGGGCCCTTAAAAAGGTGAGAACCTGCTCACACGTGGATTTTTATACTTTTATTTCCTCAGATAATTTTTATTTACTTGAAAGGCAAACAGAGAAACAAGGAGTGGTCTTCCATCTGCGAGTTCACTAGCCAAATGCCTGCTGAACCAGTCCTAAACCAGGAGAAGAGACCCCCCACATGGGTGCAGGGGCCCAATGACTTGGGTCGTCTTCCACTGCTTTCTCAGGCGCACTTGTAGGAAGCTGGACAAGAAGCAGAGCTGCTGGGATTCAAACTCACACTCCAATATGCTGGAGAGGACTCTGCTGATGTTTTATTTGACGTGTTTTAAAACTGAATTAATTCTCGCCATGTCGATTTTGGTTTCATACTTAAATGTATAAATTTGTTCTGGCCTAGTGGTTCAGACTCCATTTGGGATGCCCACATCCCATACCTGAGTGAGCGATTAGAGTCCTGGCTCTGCTCCGGACTCCAGCTTCCTGCCAGTGCCGTAGTTGGATCCCTGCCACCTACATGGGCGATCTAGATGGAGTTTCTGGCTCCCGGCTAAGTGTGGGCTGGAAGCCATTGTAGCATTTGCAGAGTAAACCTATGGATGGGAGCCCTCTTGCTGTAGCTCTCTGCTTCTCAAACATTTATAAATAATTAAAACCTACCCTACTCACTTATCTTAGAAAATTCAAACATCTAGAATACTGGTGCTGCATTTTCTTAGGGCAAACACCCGCTTTAGGCTGAGCATGCTTTCTTCAGTTTGCCAAAGCCCCAACCTCCCCCTTGCCCTTTCCATCAGCTTCTAACTCCTACAGGTATTTGTGCTTGGAATCTCATCTTCCATCTGATTCTCAAAGATGTCCATGACCCAGATCACTGCTTCTCAAACTTGAAATACAAATCCCTTGGGAGTCTTGTTAAACTGTAGATTCTGATTCCAAAGGTTTTAAGTGGGACCAAGTTGCTGCATTTCTAGCCTCTGATTGATTCTAAGAGCTAGTTCATGATACCTGTCCACCAAGAAACCATGACAGCATCTGTTTCCAAGAAGAACTTGATGGAGAGCCAAGCTGAAGCTGCCGGAGAGCTGGTCCAAGCACCAGCCACTTAGCAGTACCAGCAGTACCACTGTGCCATCAGTAAGTGAAGCTCCGTCCCCCATCTTCAGTACGGCTGCTTTGGTATTTAACAGTGAGTTTGTACCAATTAAAATGTGTTTTAATTATTGCACAGATGTGGGTGAGGCTTTTAATTGCCCATTTGGCAGATGTCTCTGAGGTAAAGCTTGGCTGACAGTCTTTGGGAAAAGCACTTAACAAGCACCCTGAAAGTGGTTCCAAATCCCTGGGGTTTTGAGGATAAACTCGGGATGAACTCAGAAACTACCTTGGAATGCCTGTCTTTGTGACTGAACTTGGTGATGTTGTACCCTTCTGTTTTTTAATAATACACTTGCATTTTTATGGAGATGGAAAAATGTCGCTCCCCGTCTTCGTGGAGGAGCAACACAGGACCCTGCGCTGTTCTTTTGTCTGCTCGGCCCTCCCCGGGTTTGTTGCTGGTTCTTCCCGGGTTGGCTACTATCCCTTCCACCTCCATGGAAGGGCAGTTCCCCCTGGCCACATTCCCCACTTCCGCAGGGGAGCGGCACACCGCCGGCCGGTTCTCTCGGGGGCTGCACAGGTGTTCCTTCAGCTAGATGTTCCCCTTAGATGTTCCCGGTGCATGCCGTCTCTCTCCTCCTTTATAGTCCTCCTCCGCCAATC